TGGAACCATCTTTTAGGACTTGATCCTGTAAGCCTTTATGCAGTATACAACAGGTTGCCTGCATGCAAGTGGAGGTTAGTCCTGGGCACCAAAAAGGTTAGGCACTTGGTGTAATCTTCTACATTTAAAGAGCCGTAACCCTGGAAGCCTTTGTGCTCCAGGCCAAGTAAGCAGAGCCTACTCAAGGCTGCATATGAGGTTAAGCATTAGCCATCGTATTCTACACTTTAAAAAGATAATTCTCAAGAATACAGAGAAGAAAAGGTGATAGAGCTTAATTAGGATCCTCATTATTCCCATAAGATGCTTAGCTATGTATTGTTATGCTGGGGATTGGGTGAAACCCTTTTGAAGATAGTGGGCATAACTGCTGCCCTTCCTTTAGAATAAATGCAAAAAGCAATTAGGCTTCTTTATGGAATAGAAAGTTGAAACAATAGGCCATATGCAAGACTAGAGTCTTGAGCCTTGAGATTTTAATCCAAATTGAGGCGGGCTGGATATTGTTTAATGGAGCTCTGTGTTTGTGAGGGAGTGAAAAGTGGCAGAAACACCACAGTAGAAGACAGGGAAGGCAGATAGGAAGCCCCAGAGAAGCGTTTGTAGCATGACCCTGAGAAAACGCTAAGAGAGGGAACTTTTTGGACAGAGTGCTGACTGAAAGGGGTTTGGAGGTGTTAGCAAAGAAACCATTTCCCATTTCATTCCTCCTGTATTCAGGGAAACAGCACTTTGTACGCTGTTTGTAAATAAACAGGATTGCATCAGAGATACCTGACTCGATCATCACTCTTTCCCCCTAAAACCAAAACAACGCGCAGGCCCTGAATTTTGGTAACTGCTTGGGTCAAAGGGGATTACATGATTATTACAGCCTGGAATATAGTAGCTGTGCAATTCTTAATACTTTACACTGCTCCATCTTGTCTTGTGGAAATTGGGAATTTGTTGATCTGCGGGGCATGTGCCATGGCTCGTCTATTTTCCTGGTTGTTTAGGCAAGGTTGAGAAACAAGATAATTTCTTCAGGAGAGTTCTTCTTGTATTTGATTGCCTGGTTAGTTGATCAGGTAGTTATGTGGATTGGGGTTGTGATAATCTTAATTTGTATGGTTTATTTGTAAAGCGCGTTGAAGCACCTAGAGGTCTAGAATAGATACTTTTGGTATCAAAAGCAATAAAATAGTTTATATGAACATCATTTAGCCACTACTGACACCATTTCCTTTGATTTTCATTGATATTTCCTTTGATTTTTCCCTTATTAAGAAAGGGCCAGTTCTGCCTGGATGTAAATGAGCACAACAACATTGAGGTCAGTGGAATTGTGTGAAGCTTGAATTTGGCGCAGAAAGCCTGACCTCTTGAGTTCGTTGTCTCAGAACTAAGTATTATGACAAACCATTGTTATGGAAATGGTCGCATTTCCCTTTCAGCTACACCAATGCAATCCCACTGAAGTCAACTGAGAGGAGAATTTAGCCTCTTATTGCCAAGGCAGCAATTTTTTCACTAAGCAATCTCAGTAAGTGTCTTCTGAACATCAGCATGACTGAATCCTATTGGAGTACAATTACACGAATAAACTTTCTCTTTTAACATCTTTCTTTACAAAAAATTATTTTGGCTGGAGATTTGCAAAACAAACAAGTCTAGAACTGCTTTAACTTACATCTGTACTTCTCCTAAAAGTGCAATTTCCTATCTTTGACTGAAAAATAACACACTGGAACTGGCATAATTTAAGGTGCAAAACATTTCAGTGAGTGTGAAGTGCCCTCTAGGCATTCTGTGTTTGATAGAGGCAGTGGTTCTCAAACTGATTTGATCGCACCTCCCTTCTTTGCATCTGTAGCATTCCCCCACGCCCCCAAGAATATATACGTATTGCCACCCTTACTTCTCTGCTGCTTCTGGCCACAGTGCTGAGTTCAGAGATGGCTGCCTGGCCAGCAGCTGCTGCTTTTGCTCTCCACTCTGCCTTCAGAACTTAATGGCCAGACGCCTACTGATCTGTCAGGAGGAATCAGCTTTGCTAGTTATTCGTTGCTGTGATTAAAATGTGTGCAGTATGTTTTTCCCCCTAAAGCTTCTCACACACACCCAGAATATATTCCACACCCCCTAGTTTGAGAGCCTCTGGGTTAAGGTATTGTGCTGTTGTTGTATTCCAAGCCTTAAGACGGTAAGATCTTTGAAACAGATGTTTAGAAAATCTCATCTATAATATTACAGTAGGATACACAGTGACAGCACTATTTAAATGATAATAATTGTAGATGCTTACAGCGAGTTTCATCCAAATGCAATATCGTATAAACAAGAATTTAAGCCTTAAAAATGGGAGTTTAAAATAAACTATAATACACCCTTTAAAACAGCACTGCTATTGTTGCTGCTCTATTGTAGTTAATAGGGTATCAGCATTGTCAGTTTTCCAACTTGGATAGATTTTTATGGGTTATAGGAATATGTATATGTCAGAATCTATAGCAGCTTTAAAAAGTTTTTATTGAAGATCATTTTAGGCAGGTCGTGTAATGAACTCAGCTGCCTGCTATTGGAAGAGGTCAGAACTGCTCAATTGTGTACTGCCAGTAGAGTTACTGCTAAACTAGTAGAGTTTCTTCTTTACCCCAAATGGTAAGATTGCGTGCTTTTGGAGGAAGAAAATCTGAGTTCAAAACCTGTTGCCACGAAGTTCCAAGTGTTCATGGTGTGAAGTTTAGTGACAACAATGAAATCTCAGAAAACAACAGATTCGTTATAGTAGATTGGAGATCTGGGCATTTGAGGTTACAAGGAATAACTGAGAGCAGAATTTGGCCTTTTATTTAGGAAATTCTCACTAAAAGAAATACTCTGTGCAGTTAAGATTCTTTTTTGGGGGGGAAAATCATATTACAAAAACATGAAGTTCCTTTTAAGAAGTAATAAATAGGGCTGACTAGAAAAACTGCAACAAACCATTTTCCATTGGAAGATTCAGTTCTGTCAAAATTGTCAAAATTTGCAAAAGCATGAATTTTTCAGAAGATTCATGTTGGAGAAAATGAAAAAAGTCTGAATCAAAACATCTCATTCTGACACTTCCAGAACTAAACATTTTGATTTTTCCCTTTGAAGTAACTTTTTGGTTTGTTTGAATTTAGTATTTTATTATATATCATCAGGTAAAAAGGTAAAAAGTAAAACAGAATGATTCACCTTTGTCAGAACAAAACAATCTGAAATTATTTCTTTTCTGACATTTTCATTCACAGAGAATTTCAGAATCTGTGGGTTCTGTTCTAAATCGAAATAAAACAAATTTTGAAATCTCAAATTCCTCCACAAAATGGATTTTTCATTTTCCACACAACTCTAGTCCCAATACGGGACACTGTAATAAAGGAGTACCCATATATACTGGGAATGTTCATATCTGCTTTCCTGATTAAAGCCACCAACTGAAATCATGAATATTTCATCAACATCTATAAAATGGAGGCCAATCTAACATTATTGGTGGGTGACATCATTACTGGGTGAGAAGAATACTGTGTCAGGACCTCTGGATATAGAACCCAGGTTTGCAGAGCTTGGGACCCCTGACATTGCCACCAGAAGGGCAGGTAGAACCACATCCAGGGAATACTGTGGAGATTGGGTACTACAGGAAGTACCACCCAAAGGGTTCAAAGTGACAGTACCCTCTGATTGGTCAAGTACATTATTTAACCCTGGAGGGTACCCCAGGAAGTTGTCTGGGCGATCACACAGACTTCTGGCTTGCTATGACTCCTCACAATGTCTTGTCTTCTGATTGCCAGTCTCCACCCACGACTTTTGCTTATTGAACCAGGCTCTAGCAATTCCTCTGACATCTGCTCACAGACTACCGTCGTGTGGCTGTCCTTGATGTGTGGACACAAGCCCAGCAGTGAGCACTAGGCCAGATGACCTACACCCCAGTCCCATACATATTAGTTCAATGTTTCATTTTATTTCTCTTATGTGCACCATGCAACATGTAATTTTATACTATGAGGTTTATATGCACGTATTTTATGAGCTTTATATGTTGTGCTCCTATAATTATTATTTTGCACAAAATTTAGAAAAAGGCACTTAAAAAAGAAAAAAAAGGAAAATTTGGGAAATAGACTATTCCCTAGTATAGATAAAAAAATAAATGACAGGGACTGTAGGAATTGTTAACATGTTCCTGGTGACTTTTTTCCATTACCTTATTGCATTAGAAGAGAATATTTTCTCATTTTATGCTTGTTTTGTTTTTCTTTCAGTAGACACAGTCCTACCCATTAAAGTACCGTGGAAGCTCAAAGCTGGAACAGAGTTGCCTTCATCTCACTCAGTGAAAATGCTTTTGATGTATTTCGGTCTTTATTTGCCTTTAAAATGTCAAGCAAAGCTGTCAACACCTTTTGCTGCTGTCACTGTGCTTGTCCTTCGCCTCTTTGTTGACCAGCCTGTTCTAACATCCCTCTCTTGTACCTGATGTACATTTTGACCTATATTATCAAAACATAGTATGTGAGCTGCATGCATAAAATGTTTCAGATGCTTCATTGTTGCTCATTGAAATTGGAAGCATGTGAAGGACCAATGTCTGAAAAGTGGGTATAACAGATCTGTAAGTTATACTCCAACATATGAAATATGTGCCTGGTAACTCAGAAGGAGGGAATGGGATCTTGTGTTACACCTATTATAGCAATGACTAAAATGTGTAGGTATGGCTCTGCTATTATTATTTGTTTACCATAGCACCTAGAAGGTCTAGTCATGGGCTAGGATCCAATTGTGCTCAGTGCTGTACAAAACAGAGGACAAAAAACAGCCCCTGTCCAAAGTGCTTACAAACAAAGTATAAGTCAAGCGACAGCACGTGGACGCAGACAGGTGGGGGAGTGAAGGGAAACAATGAGACTATATTGGTTAGCAGTAATCTTAGCACCCAAGCAGCCTAACTCTTGACCAGTTTTTTTTTTTTGTAGGCAAAAGAAAAGTTTTGAGGAGGATTTTGAAGGAAGAAAGAGATTTGGAAGAAAATATATTAAACTGGCAATGAAAATGAAGAAAAACTGAGAAGTGAAAAAAAAGCCCTAAAGCTGTAATAGTTAAAGTTTGTTTATTTAATTTCAGATATTTTTGTTAACATATTTTATGTGTTTTTTTTTAAATATCAGTGTTTGGTGTTGTATGCAGGGTAGTTGTACCTGTGTTGGTCCCAGGATATTAGAGAAACAAGGTGATGAGGTAATGTCTTTTACTGGACCAAAAGCTTATCTCTCCACCAACAGAAGTTGGTTCAATAAAAGATATCTCATTCACCTTGTCTCTCTAGTGTTTGCCGGACAGCCCCACAGCGCAGGAGCGGGAGAGACTGAGGGGAGCTCGCCCCAGCACACCCAAGGCAGCCCCCAGCCATGACACCAGCCGGCCCTGCCCAGCTTCTGGGGCAGAGGAGGCTGCTGCTGCCAAGGGCCTGGCTCCCCGGCCCTATGTGGTGCCCAATCACATGGTGCCTGATCTCCCTGCCCAGCACAGCCGGTCCCGCTTCTTGGGCCGAGCAGGAAGCAGCATGGAGCTCGGCCGTGGCTGCTGAGTGAGGTAGCATCGGATCAGCCTCTGTGCGCGGGGCCCTGGAGTGGCTGCCCGGATGGCTGTGCAGAGCAGGTACCAGCCGCAGCACGGCCCCTGCCCCAACACAGGATACAGGGGCCTGCAGTCCTTCCATAGCCCCATGCCCCCCCAACGGCGCTGCTCCATGCACCCCCCGAGCCCCTTCTCCAAAGGCGCTGGCTCTAGGATTTTTGCTGCCCCCAAGCAAAAAAAAAATGTTGACTGCTCCTGCTTCTTTTCATGCCAGCCCCTTGCTCTGCCCCTTCCCAACCCCTTCCCCAAATCCCTGGCCCCGCCTCCTCCCTCAAGCGTGCCGCATTCCCTCCCTCCCTATTGCTTCCTAAGGCTTCCCCCCGCAACCTCCCGCCCTAGCTCACCTCCACTCCGCCTGCTTCCCTGAACACGCCACCGCTCCGCTTTTGCCCCCTCCTTTTCAGGCGAGGGAGAGGTAGCATGTTCAGGGCATGCCTTCCAGCGGTGTCTGGGAGAATGCTTCTTGGACTTAACAGTGCCTCAGTTAACATTACTCTACTTTGAAAATATTATTCTGTAATGCACATGTCAGTTTCCAAGAGTGAGTTCCATTAGCTCTCAGGATGTGTATATCCCTCTACGAATGTCATCCGATACAAACCTGACTGTGAGTTTCTGTTGTCTTTATTTTATTTTCTTCTTCCCAATATTATGATGAAGTTTGAATAAATAGATGTCTGTGTCAAACATTTCCATATTCTGTGCCTTTTCATGTGGTTACTCAATACTGTTTCCAGAGATGATGATAAAATCTGTATAACTACGGATGCTGAGAGATCATCACTGCAGGGGAAAAAATGATCATCTGACAAAGATTTCACTGTATGCGGTCTCATTTTGGATTGCAGCCAACTCTTTGTTGGCAACGTCTACTCATTAAGAGATCGATCCTGCAAAATGTTTAGTGCTCTGGCCCTGATCCAGACAAGCACTTAAGCACGTGCTTGATTTTAAGCAGATGAATTGGCACATGGAAATCAATCTGTTTAAATACTATTCAGGTGTTATATTGAGTTTGTTTAAATCATTAATCAACAAGACATCAAGTGGTCAAGCTCAATTGGTTTATTAATTAAAGATTAGACATCTAAAATTAATCAGCACGATACAGAAAGAAAATACACTCACCAATCTGGGGTCCAGCACCTGAAGCCCACGATGATCTGAATTGCTTCACAGTTTTATGGGTATTATAGACCACTTATTTACTTGTTTCTACACTTTGTCATGAATTATGTAACTAACATTGTCCAATCAACAGCAAAATATGGTTGCTGGGTCTAGTGTGTGGGTGCTGTTGCTGGCCTGTGATATACAGCGGGTCAGCCTAGATGATCTGGTGGTCCCTCCTGGCCTTAAATTCCATGACTTTATGACTCCCCTTTCCCCCTCCCCTCGCCCCTGGTTGAATTGATCTGGATGTGCAATACAATAATCAAAAGCTTATGATCTGTAGATGGCAAAAGTGGATTTGTTTTATCAAATCAGCCAGCTGGTAACTAACTGGCATCACCAATGGAGGTCATTATGTCTTCTCACTGGAAGACTGTTTGCTTCATAGAGCTCACCAGAGCACAAGTTTCCTTAGCAAAACCATAAAAAGCTTCCATGTGACTTTTAATAAGTGAGATTTTATGTTATCTCATTCTATTTCCTTCTGTTAATTAATACAAATGGAATTTTATTTTCTCAAGTACACTGAGCTAAGAAAATTCAACAACAAATACTTTAAAACAGTCTCAATATTGGCATAAAAACAGGATGTGACAGAATAACCACAAATGACAAGAATTGTTAATCAAATAATTTAATATAAGACTGACTAGTTTGTTATAATGCCTTGGGGAAAATGCAAGACAATGTTTTAAGATTCATACTACACTAGTAGTTGCTGTACAAGTCCGGTGGTTTATAGCTTTGCTTTTTTTATGCCTCTTTGTTTTGTGGTAATTGGCTTATTGTTATTTACTGATGGCAGTTATAGGTTTTATAAATTTCCATTTTCCTATCTTCCTTAATTTCCAGAGACTAACAAGACTTGTGTTCACTGAAGATAACACAAATACAAACAAATTAATATTATCCTATTTTAGGGTGGATAAAAATCAATGATTTTTTTTAAAAAAAAAAAGCAAAAAAATCGGTTTTTATTTAAATTAGATTTTTTGATAAAATGCTTTTTGAGGGGAAAAAACCTATCTAAAGATAATTTTAAGATACAATGTAAGATAAGATAATTATAAGATAGATAGTTATAAAATACATTATAGCTCAAAGATATCTCATCATGGAATAGGGATTATAAATTCTAATTCTATAGTATGAGACAATATATTAATGTAATGTTTAAGAAAAGTTTTGTAAATGAGTTCCAATAGTTCATGGATTAGGGACCCAATCTTTTGGGGTTCTAGGGGCTTCTGTATAGATTATTTAGGTTAATCTTTCTATCTAGCCAATGGGACTCAGTGCTCAGTCTAGAAGATACCATCAGAGATGCTTACTTTTGCAGTTCTCAAACTGTGGATTTGTGTCTCCAGAGATAACCTGTTTGTTAAAAGCAAAAATGTTTTAACATAAATAATATAGAGAGGTGAGAAATAACAGACGTCAACCCTATTGTCCCTCTGCAAATTTGTGTACATAGAGTCAATCCCTTACCTCTCTCTAAAAGTGGAAAGCTTCAAAAAGTTCAATGAATAGAAGATTGTTGGGGGCAGAATACATATGGACAAGGAGAAAAAGTCTGGAGATAAATGTGAGAAGGGAGGGACAGGCAGTAGAAACAAAAGTGAAACTGTTTGAGCAGCATATTCCAGAAGTCTTGAGGTCTTTCTGAGTGTAGCCTTCATTGATTTGAGATCTACCATACCATTCTCTCACTAGAAGGGAAAAATCTATAATGGCAGCAGGCTGTAAAAGAGACCCAGTTTGGGAATAAGAATTATTCAAGAAATCTACGTTTGCTGATGATGTTTTAAAGAAAGTCACACCAGTGAACTGGTGGAAGTCACTTAAGCATTTGGATTCAGAGACTGTTGAAGTGATAATCTCACTTTAAACAGCAGTAGCTTCTTCTGCCAGTGTAGATAGAATATTTTTCTTCTGTTGGACTAATTCATTCCAAATTGAGAAATCGTTTGGGACCTGAAAAAGCAGGAAAGGTTGTTTTTCTTTTCCAGATTATGAACAAAACAGGAAAATGAAGGTGAAGACAACTGAGTTAGCTGCAGAAGTCAGTATTTAAGTTTCTCATGTTGACCTGGCTGACATAGTTGATTTAATGTTTGTTTGTTTGTTTGTTTTTTCAATTTCATTTAACTAATTTTAGTTAAATACAATTTTAACTAAAACAAATCTGAATTTAAAAAACTTGAATGTTTAATGAAATTCAAAAATTCATATGCTTGTTTTGTTAAAATATTATATATGTTTGCTGTTGAAGAAAAAATCCAGAATATGTAATGTTGTTGTTTTAGTTAAATAAAACAATTTAAATGTCTGTCTGGTGATGTTCTCCTCCTAATACAGAATGGCAAGAAAATCCTCCAAATATTAATGATTAACCTGTTGAATTGGAGATAGTTCACTTCCCAATGACTTCATAAATATCTGCTTCAATTACATTTGGTAAATGAAATAACCAAACAATCATTCATTTTCTGATATAGCTGTAAAACTAATCTGAAAAGTTTTCAAAATAAATCACTTTAAAAATGTATAGTGTGTACCTTCTAAAAATGAAACCTACATCTATCTGAGTCGTGAAGAATATGTATTAAGGTTATAACAAGCAACAAGAATGCACTTTTATGTAGAAATCCATGATTAAATCAAGTCTTCCCAACTAGTGATTTAAATCAAATCCACCCTGTCATATTTAAAATTTAGTGGCAACACAACATTTTAAATACATGAGAGGTACTCTGATACTACAGTGAGAGGGGGCAGATAAGTACCATGATTAGCGAAAATGAGAGAGATTAGATAAATTCATTTATCATTTAAATTATGATCCCAGTATTTTCTAAATTTTCCATATTTTTCTATTTAGATATTATGCATTTACTGAGTTGAATGATTGCATGGTTTATAAGCTACCTTTGATCACATCTTAAATTGACAGCGCTGCTGATTTTGTAAACGTGGCAACCTCTGCATCACCCCATCACATCCCGTCAGAGAAAGAGAAAGGGAAGAGAAGGGTGATCATACTTGTCCACTCATCAGCACTTCAAAGAATCTATACTGAGCTTATCCTGAAGTTTAGTTGAAGTTTGTTAGCTTAGAATAGCTATTAAAACCTACACAACACACAGAAAATCATCCAGCTAGCTAGATTAAAATCCTTTATAGATGTCAAAATACTGAAAAAACACAACTGATTTAATAATCCCTTACCACCAGCGGGTCCTAGATGCTTGCCATGAAAATGTATTACCTTTGTTGCAGGAAATACCAGCCAGATCCTATTAGTGTTAAGTAAGTGAATTTCCAGGACTTTCAAAACATTTCATATCTATATCTTTGACTTTTTATTTTTTAATAAAAAATATTTTGCAGGCATTGAGAGAATTTCTCTAGAGTGAATTAGAAAAAATATTGGAACATAGGACATAAAAACTGATATGCTAACAAAAAAAAAGTGATAAACTGTTCCATCCCACTAGACATTGATGATTTGCTGCCCTTGTGGGACAAGGTATACAGAAAAGGGGCTTGGTTCACTTCCAGAGGGTTTTTGCTGGTGAAACCCAGGGTGTAGGATTCCTGTGGCAGAAATTTTACCTAGAGGTGGGTTGCAGCTGGTCAATCCACCCATAACTCCTGCTTTGCTAGGTGTCCAGAACTGGACTCACTGTTATCTCAAAAAAGCACAGCAAGGATGAGACCAGCACAGTGCTTCTTTGGGCAGCTCCCACTAGCAGGGTTTTTCTGCAACCCTCATTCAAATTTAAAGAGACTTTTCACTGGCAGAATCACTCAGACGATGGGAGTGCAAACAAAGTCTGCCCTCTCTGGGGTACTCACTGACACAAAGGGTGCAATTCAAATCAACATGTGCTAGTAGTGATGACTGTATCTGTGGAGTGTGTAAATTCCAGTTTTTGAGCAGAGGGTTAACTGGAGTCTGGCATTGAAGAGCCTTGCCATTAAGGAATGGGGCTGGGCCCAGCTAGTGAGCTAAGGAACTGTATACAAAGGGAGAAATCTCTTTTGTATTTAGATATTTTGATTGCAAGAAGTATTATTTCTTGGTTTAGTTGGAATTCCTGCTGCAGAAAGCCATTTACTTTGCATTATTCTGTTGACACCTGAATCATTTTCAGTGCTCGTGAGTGATCATTTTAACTGTAGCCAATGGAATCAATAGATAAAGACCCTCTAATATAAATGGAGTATTAACCTTCTGAACACTGACACTGCTCATGTGACTGGAAAGCGATTTCCAGTTTCCTGCCAGCAATCATAGTCTAGCCATTCTTTCTTCTGTCTGCCTATGTGTGGGCCACACTGAAGTCAGTAGGAGCTGCTGGGTGCTCAGCACTTTTGAAAATCAGGCCATTCATTTAGGCACCTAATTATGGACTTGGGAGACTAATTTTAGGCAACCATTTTTGACAATCTTGGCAGAAGTGTGTTGACACCAGCACTGTAAAAACAATCTTTCTTATGGGTAACAGCAGTAATCCAAGCAACATTTGTGAAGGTTTCAGAGTAACAGCTGTGTTAGTCTGTATTTGCAAAAAGAAAAGGAGTACTTGTGGCACCTTAGAGACTAACCAATTTATTTGAGCATGAGCTTTCGTGAGCTACAGCTCACTTCATCGGATGCATACCGTGGAAACTGCAGAAGACATTATATACACAGAGACCATGAAACAATACCTCCTCCCACCCCACTCTCCTGCTGGTAATAGCTTATCTAAAGTGATCATCAAGTTGGGCCATTTCCAGCACAAATCCAGGTTTTCTCACCCTCTGCCCCCCCCCCCCCCCCCACAAACTCACTCTCCTGCTGGTAATAGCCCATCCAAAGTGAAGTAAATAATAATTGGGCAGGGCATGCAACAGTGTCAGTTGGTGGAACAGAAGTTTACTACAAAGTGTAATATGTCTGCTCTGAAGAAATACAAACACATGGGCACAATGGGAATGCAAGATATCAGCAAGGAGAGAGGGGTAGCATTTTTAGGGTTTCTCTACACATGAAAGTTAATCTGGAATAAGGTAAACTGTGAATTTAAAACAGATTTACTATTCCCAATTAAACCTCCATATGCAGATGCTCTTATTCTGGAATAAGAGTGTCTTAATTACAGATGAGTTTAATCCAAGTGAAGGGAAGACTGTCATTTTGTATAGAGGGACTTTGATACCACAGACGGGGAGGACTACAGTGACCTGGCTGGAGGGCTGAGTCACGAAAGAGCACCCTGATTCCCAGAGGAAAAGAGAGATCACAGGGAGAGGAACCGACAGAAGGAGGCATGGAACCTGTGAAGAACTAATCCCCAAAGAAACCAGAAGGAGGTGCCCTAGTGGTGAGTGGGCCACATGACACAACCTAAAATCAAGATTGCAAGAGCTCAAAAAAACAAAGAGGAAAAGTCCAGAAAGGACCTGCCTTGACAGAAGGCCTCCTTGGAATTGTAGACATTTAGCTAATTACAGGACCATTTAACTGATTATCTTAAGCTATTTACATTTAATTCATCTGTTTTCTAATTCAAAGACTTCAGTAACAAGAAGTCAATGATACATCAAATTATGAGAACAATGCATCAAAACTAACCTGCTTTAGCTGATTAAGTACACTGAAAGGAGAGTATCACAGCCTTCAGCATATCAAAAGAAATTAAGTCTTTTTTCATTTTCTCATCTCTGTAACATTGGGAAAAGAAAAAAGTTGTCAGTTAACAAAACTTCTAACTTTGATAAAACTAGGATTAGAAAGAATATAGAAACATTTTGAAAATTAACATGTTAAGAATACGGTAACAAAGGCAGCCTTAGGTTTCATAGAATATCAGGGTTCGAAGGGACCTCAAGAGGTCTTCTAGTCCAACCCCCTGCTCAACGCAGGACCAATCCCCAACTAAATCATCCCAGCCAGGGCTTTGTCAAGCCTGACCTTATAAACTTCTAAGGAAGGAGATTCCACCACCTCCCGAGGTAACCCATTCCAGTGCTTCACCACCCTCCAAGTGAAAAAGTTTTTCCTAATATCCAACCTAAATCTCCCCCACTGCAACTTGAGACCATTACTCCTTGTTCTGTCATCTGCTACCACTGAGAACAGTCTAGATTCATCCTCTTTGGAACCCCCTTTCAGGTAGTTGAAAGCAGCTATCAAATCCCCCCTCATTCTTCTCTTCCGCAGACTAAACAATCCCAGTTCCCTCAGCCTCTCCTCATAAATCATGTGTTCCAGTCCCCTAATAATTTTTATTGCCCTCTGCTGGACGTTTTCCAATTTTTCCACATCATTCTTGTAGTGTGGGGCCCAAAACTGGACACAGTACTCCAGATGAGGCCTCATCAATGTCGAATAGAGGGGAATGATCACGTCCCTTGATCTGCTGGCAATGCCCCTACTTATACATCCCAAAATGCCATTGGCCTTCTTGGCAACAAGGGCACACTGTTGACTCATATCCAGCTTCTCGTCCACTGTAACCCCTAGGTCCTTTTCTGCAGAACTGCTGCCTTGCCATTCTGTCCCTAGTCTGTAGCGGTGCATGGGATTCTTCCGTCCTAAGTGCATGGGATTCTCCCGTCCACTGCACTTGTCCTTCTTGAACCTCATCAGATTTCTTTTGGCCCAATCCTCTAATTTGTCTAGGTCCCTCTGTATCCTATCCCTACCCTCCAGCATATCTACCTCTCCTACCAGTTTAGTGTCATCCGCAAATTTGCTGAGGGTGCAACCCACGCCATCCTCCAGATCATTAATGAAGATATAGAACAAAACCGGCCTGAGGACCGACCCTTGGGGCACTCCACTTGATACCGGCTGCCAACTAGACATTTAGCCATTGATCACTACCCGTTGATCCCGACAATCTACCCAGCTTTCTATCCACCTTATAGTCCATTCATCCAATCCATACTTCTTTAACTTTCTGGCAAAAATACTGTGGGAGACTGTGTCAAAAGCTTTATTTGCTGACTTTATTCGCTAAAGTCAAGGAACGACACGTCCACTGCTTTCTCCTCATCCACAGAGCCAGTTATCTCGTCATAGAAGGCAATTAGATTAGTCAGGCATGACTTGCCCTTGGTGAATCAATGCTGACTGTTCCTGATCACTTTCCTCTCATGTAAGTGCTTCAGAATTGATTCCTTGAGGACCTGCTCCATGATTTTTCCGGGGACTGAGGTGAGGCTGACTGGCCTGTAGTTCCCAGGATCCTCCTTCTTCCCTTTTTTAAAGATGGGCACTACATTAGCCTTTTTCCATTCTCCCGGACCTCCCCCGATCGCCATGAGTTTTCAAAGATAATGGCCAATGGCTCTGCAATCATATCTGCCAACTCCTTTAGCACTCTCGGATGCAGCGCATCCAGCCCCATGGACTTGTGCTTGTTCAGATTTTCTAAATAGTCCCGAACCACTTCTTTCTTCACAGAGGGCTGGTCACCTCCTCCCCATGCTATGCTGCCCAGTGCAGTAGTCTGGGAGCTGACCTTGTTCGTG